TCCTTGACTCAATTCTTAACCCGCTGGAGGGACGAGGTTGACAAGGTAGAAGAGATGGACGATAAGACGGCCATGTCTTTACTGATGAATGCCTTCCGGTCAGGTGACCTCTACACTGAATTCTGTAGAAGGCCACCCTCCTCTTATCAGGAAGCCTACAATACGGCATGGGAGTATGCCGAGGCGGAAGTCCTGAACAAAAGCAAGCGGGAGCTGGAAGAAGGCTACACAAAGGTGAAATCTGACAAGCCGAAGAAGGATGACCAGACGGGAGGGTCCAAGCCAAAGGCCACGTATGACGGGTCCATCCACCAAATAAGAGATGATAAGAAGGGAGAGCAACTCAAGAGACCATGGACGGAGAAGTGGTGCACATACCACCAATCCAATTCCCACAACACGGCGGACTGCCGAAATGTCAAGGCTGTGCTCAAGGAGATGGCCTTGAACGGAGAGCTGGGGGAAGGTTATGCAGCGGGGAATAAAAAGGACCCGAAAACGAACACCTGGACCCGTCCTCAAGGAAAAGACCAGGGAAGGAGAAAATCAGGGAAGGACGACAAGCCGGATAAGGAGTTCATAGAGATGATTGTTGGCGGCCCGGAAGGCGGGGATACTGCCTCCCAGCGGAAGAACTGGGCTAGGAGTCTACATGTGTCGGTGGTTTCCCTGGAATCTCATGGGAAGCAGGCACGGAGGGAACCTATCACTTTCACTGATAGGGATTTGCCCAGGACGGGGGGAGATCATAATGACCTTTTGGTCATTACAATGGACATCAATGGGGCAGATGTGGCCAGAGTCCTGGTTGATACGGGAAGCAGTGTCAATGTTTTGTACTTGGATGCTTTCAAGAAATTGAAGCTGGACAGGTCCATGCTGAGGCCATTGCAAACCCCATTGTCAGGCTTCACTGGAGCCAGCATAGAAGCAGAAGGTCAGATCACCTTACAAGTTACCTTGGGGTCGGGTAACAAAACAGTAACCAAGCAAATGAGATTTGTTGTGGTTGATATCAAGTGTGTACATAATGCCATTCTTGGTAGACCTGGAATCAACCAGGTCAGGGCCATCATTTCTATGGCACACTTGTGCATGAAATTCTACACTCCCAATGGAATCGGGGAGGAAAGGGGTGACCAAAAGAATGCCCGGTCCTGCTACTTGGAAGCAGTCAAGAAAATGACCCGCCAATTCGAACAAATTGAATTGGTCTCCCAGCAAGTAGACAAGGGAGAGGAGAAGGCTAGAATCGAGCCGGATGCAAACACGGAGGAGATCCAAATTGATGCCTCCAATCCTGAGAGGAAGGTCAAGATTGGGGCTGATCTTCAGGAGGAGTTAAGGACTGAGGTTGTCTAGGTGCTGACCAGGTATAAATCTTTGTTTGCCTGGAGTGTTGCTGATATGCCCGGAATTGACCGGTCAGTCATTTGCCATCGTCTCTCTGTTCTTGAGGGGTCTAGGCCCGTAAGACAGAAGAAGAGATTTTTGGCAAGTGATAGAAGAGACTTTGTAAAGAAGGAGGTTAAGGACCTACTTGAGGTAGGTCATATCAGGGAAGTAAACTACCCTGAATGGCTGGCCAATGTAGTCCTGGCTCCAAAGGGTGATACCTGGAGGATGTGCGTAGACTACACAGACCTCAACAAGGCATGCCCAATGGATTCTTATCCTCTCCCTAGCCCGGACCAAATGGTTGACGAAACCGCCGGGTGTGAGCTGTTAAGTTTCATGGATGCCTTTAAAGGGTATCATCAGATCTTCATGGCAGAAGATGACGAGGAAAAGACGGCCTTCCTCACCCCGGATGGGACATACTGTTACAAGGTGATGGCCTTTGGGTTAAAAAACTCAGGGGCGACCTATCAGAGGATGGTCAACAAATTGTTCAGGCCTTTACTTGGACGGACCATGGAGGCCTATGTCGATGATATGCTGGTGAAGAGCAGGACAGCTAACACACACGCTCAAGACCTGGAAAAATGCTTTGAGATTATGGCTAGGCATGATCTTAGACTTAACCCGAAGAAGTGTGTTTTTGCCGTGAGGACGGGGAAGTTCCTGGGCTTCATGGTCACAAAGAGGGGGATTGAGCCAAATCCTGAGAAGATTAAAGCCATTGTTGAGATGCAACCCCCAGCCTCGGTAAGGGATGTCCAGAGATTGACGGGGCGCTTGGCGGCCCTAAACCGGTTCTTGTCCAGATCAGCTGAGAAGGCCTTACCTTTCTTTAAAGTCTTAAAGAAAGCCAACACCTTCCAGTGGGATGACGAATGTGCCAGGGCATTCGAAGAACTAAAGACGTACCTGACTTCGGATATTGTCCTATCCAAGCCGGAAACGAAGGAGACTCTATACCTCTACCTAGGGGTAACTCAGATGGCCGTTAGCTCGGTCTTGATGAGGGATGATGGGGTCCAGAGGCCCATTTATTATGTAAGCAAGGCCTTAAATGGGGCAGAAAGTAGGTACACTCCTACAGAGAAGGCAGGGTATGCACTATTCATAACGGCGAAGAAACTCACCTCCTACTTTCAGGCCCATCCCATAGTCGTGTTGACAGACCTACCACTGGGCACGGTCATGAGGGACTCTACTTCATCAGGAAGGATGATCAAATGGGCCATGATGCTTACCCAATTCAACATTGAATATCGCCCGAGGACGGCAATAAAAGGACAGGCCGTGGCTGATTTTCTTGTGGAGATGACGGGTCACCAAGAAGAAGAACCGGCCAAGGCCATCACTGAGCCATGGTGGTCCATGTCGGTAGATGGAGCCTCTGGACCGAAAGGTTACGGGGGAGGCGTGGTATTCACAACTCCGGAAGGGTTCAAGGTGTATCATGCCTTGATCTTTAATTTCAAGCTCACAAACAATGAGGCCGAGTATGAGGCGTTGATAGGGGGTCTGAGATTGGCCAAAACCCTACAAATCACATGCCTCCGGATTAAATCTGACTCAAGCTTGGTGGTAGGCCACATCAATGGCAACATGGAGGCCAAAGGAGAGAAGATGCAGAAGTACAGAGACTTGGCAAGGGCATTATTGAAGGATCTGACCGAGTATGTGATGGAGCAAATCCCTAGGGGGGAAAACACCGATGCTGACTTGCTGTCAAAATTGACGCAAGCAGCCCCGGAGCATGTGTCCAAGCTAGCCAGGATTGAGACGCTGGAGAAAGCCAGCATTGAAGGGTTTTCTGTTAGCATGATAGAGGAAGAGGGACAACCCAATCCAGATCGAGTGGAGCCAGATGATATTTGGATGGATGACTTGGTCAGGTATTATATGACCGGGCAATTCCCTGAGGATGAGGATAGGATAAGAAAAATAAAGCTGAGGGCTCCAAGATTCCAAATGCTTGATGGAAGGCTATACAAAAGGGCATTTGGCGGTCCGCTGCTGAGATGCTTGACCAGGGCGGAGGCGGAAAGAGTGATTGCTGAAGTTCATGAGGGTGTCTGTGCAGCCCACCAAATGTCCAGGACACTCGCTCAAAGGATCATTTTGCTAGGTTATTTCTGGCCTACAATGAACCAAGATTGCGAGAAGTATGTGCAAAGGTGCAAGACCTGCCAGGTGTTCTACAAGTTTCCGGGAAGGCCTGCGACATACTACCATCCAGTTTCTAATGTTATCCCATTTGCAAGGTTTAGGATGGACATCATTGGAGCCTTTCCCCAAGCACAAGGGAGGAAGAAGTATGTCATGGTTGCTATCGACTACTTCACAAAATGGGTAGAAGCCGAGGCATATGCAACCATCACAACCAAGCAGTGCCAGCGCTTCGTCTGGAAGAATATAATCACCAGGTTCGGGTCTCCTCGAAACATTGTGACGGATAACGGGCCTCAATTTCGGAATCCAGGGTTCACCAAATACTTGGAGGACTTCGGGGCTACTCACAACAAGGCTTCCGTGGCCTACCCGCAAGGGAATGGTCAGGTGGAGAATGCGAACCGCACCATAGTCGATGGGATTAAAAAGCGGTTGGGTGAGGCAGGAACAAATTGGCTAGAGGAGCTGCCACATATCATCTGGGCTTACCGGGTCACTTCGAGAAGGGCCACAGGGGAGACACCTTTCGTCCTTACATATGGATGTGAGGCCAGACTACCCATCGAAGCAAAAATAATGACCTTCCGGGAAAAGATCTATGAGGAGAAAGGAAATGAAGAAGACCATATGGCAGAACTGAACTTGCTGGAGGAAAGGCGGATGGTCGCTGAGGCTAAAATGATAGAGTATCAGCAAGCAACCAAGGCCTACCATGATAACAAGGTAGGGCCTCGCTATTTCCAGGTGGGTGATGAGGTCTTGAGACGAAGGGAGGCCAGCAAACCGGGAGACGGGGGAAAGCTTGCAAAAAAATGGGAAGGCCCATATAGGGTCACAGCGATATTACGCCCTGGGACGTACAAGTTAGAAACCATGGAAGGTAGAGAATTGGAAAGGTGCTGGAATTCCCACCACCTTAGAAAATTCTACCGGTAGGCCAAATTGGCAGGGCATGCATTTGTAATACCCTTTCGATGATGAATAAAGCTTTCTTCAATATAAGTGATGCTAAAATGAATGGTCTTGATGTAAGAGGCAAGGTTAAAAAAAAAAAGAAGATAAACCCTTGAGATAGGGACCTTGATGTTGAGGTATAGCCTTGAGATAGGCTGGGTCTGGAAGAGGACTCGCGTCCATACTTACATGGATCCCTACCAAATTTTCGTTTGGATAGGGGCGAAAAGATGCCGAAATAAAAAAAACGTTTACCGTCTTGCATGAGCCATCCTTTGCGGATTGAAGGGTCTAGGGAAGACTAGAATTCACTTCAAACGCATAACATATGGACATGTAAGATTGGATGAGGGCTGGTTCTCACCGGCATACCCCCATGTGGGAAGATTAGGTTGGCTAGGTCAACCTAATAATTAAAGAATGGCACATTAAAATACTTAAAACCTGGAAGAGGGGCCCTGGAAGAAGGGTGTTGCCTGGAAGAGGGCTGAACCTTGGAGAGGGTTCGCGATCATAGGACATGGTCAAAATCTCCGAAAAAAGTTCGGGTCTTGATGTTGAGACTTGATGATTCCAAAACCATTTCGGATTATTCGTTCGAAATTTAAGCAAGGTTGCTGTTAGGCATGACATCCAGGCCAAAGGGGTAAAGGAAAGTGGCATGGTCAAAAGTGACCGGTCACTTTTTGATGTTCTGGATTGGCAAGAAAATGCGAATGGGAAAAACTTAAAATTTGACCGGTCAACTTTGAGAAAAGTGACCGGTCACTTTTTTCAGGTTGGATTTGAGCAAATCAGGCAAATCTGGAAAACTTCATTTTTGACCGGTCAAAGTTTTGACCCAGCACCTAGACAGAAAATTTGACGTCGTGCCGGTCATGTAGCGCAACCAAACCGTTACAGCTGGACCAGGATAAATTCAACCTGGAAAGTTGTTACATTTCAACCTGGAAGTAACCTAGATGTTTTCCAAGACAAGAGACCAGGACATGAGATAACCTGGAAGTATTCAAGCCTTCCATCCATTTTGTGATATTCAAAAGTTTCAACCTAGCCTACTACACCAGGACATGAGATGACCTGGACGTTTGTTGCAGTTCAACCTAGACATAAGCCGGTCTAAAATATGAATCAGGCACGAGGTGCCCTGGACATTTTCAAGAGATGAAATTGACCAGGACGTCAAAGGACCTAGACGATTTTCAACCAAACCAAGTAGACCGGTTGCTTCTATTGACTTGGAAGCAGACATGTTCAAGAAATTGTCAACCAAGCCAATTAGACCTGGATGTTTCAAAGACCAGGACATGAGATGACCTGGACATTTTTATAAAATATTCCTATGGTTTATGGCCGGGTACTATCATTGACTTGGAAGTTTAACCCAGCATGGTAAAGAAAAGGCAAATATGACCAAGCAACTTCAAAGCAGGAAAACAACCAGACAAAAAAAAGGTGACCATGCGAGGAAAATAAGTTCAATCATTCAAAGAATCAAGCAAACAAGCCGGTAAAAGATTAAAGGCATGCCAATAAAAGTGAAATATCATAAGTCAAAAGTAGGCCGGACATCCCCCAGGCCTTGGGAAAATTCAGAGTTTTTTCATTATCTACCCTGACCTACTGTAAAGGGAAAGGGGGGGCTGGCTCTTCCTTGTACAAAGGAGGAAGCTTCATCTTGGCCGGATCAAATGAAGGGTCCCTTTTCTGAAGCCGGGCATAGAGAAGAGACCTCTCATCCTTTTGGCCACACTGAAAGCCATATGAACCGATCTCGGTTATCATCCTCTTACCCTCTAGCTCTTGATACATGACTTGGAAGAAGTCCATAGTTTCCGCCGGGGTAGTGAGAATGGACCGGGCAACCTCCGTGTGATGGCGTGCAGCCCAGTCAGCAGCCAAGGTGGGAAAGGCCTCCTCCTTTGCCCGGGCAGATTCTTCAGCCTGGCCCAATGCATCCTCAAGCTCGGCCACCTTTCTATTCCTTTCCTCCTCCAGAAGGGCAAACTTGGTCCTCTCCTCCTCTAGCCTGGCCCTTTCAGCCATTAGCTCTTCCTCCAGCTTCTTCTCCCTTTCGACCCGGTCATTGATCTCCAACTTGGCGGAATCAAGGAGGAGGGTGAGTTCGCTGACCCGGTCATTGGATTCCAGAAGTGACCGGCCAACTTCTTCAGATAAGACCCCAACCTGGAAAATAAACTTGTAAGTAAAAGCAAAGGAAATAACTAAACCGGGAGGAAAATCAGAGTCGGTACCTTGCTGAGTTTTTTGGCCAGGGATAGGAAGGTTTCTTCAATGGATTCCCCTTCCCTATCTGATAAACTGATCTTCCTCTTCTTGCCTCCCCTGGAACTCTTATGAGAGCTCTTCCTTTTTTGATCCTTGGCTTTTGAAGAAGAAGATGCACCGACCTCTTTGGCACTTGGTTTGACCGGAACTTTGGGGGGATTAGCCGGGTCACCCTCGGAATGATGGCTGGCTTGAGGAGATTTCAGCTTCTCCCTCTGTTCATGGATGGGGCTACACCGGGCACTTATAACCTCATCCGTTTCAGGGATGTGGGGAGGAGAAGAACGCTTGGAAAAGGGAGACAGGTCAGAGTGGAGGACTTGGACATCATCGTCATCATCTTCGAGGATGGTGGTCATCCTGTTGAATTCCATGTCTACAAATATGAACGGAACAAAACATTACCGGTTAGAATTTTCAACTTAACAAAATAAAGTTGAAATTAGAAGGGAAGGGAGATTGACCGACCTGGATGAGGAGAACTGCCCTCAGCATGACCATCCGGGGAGTTGGCCCGGTCATCTTCTGCGTCATGGGTCGCAGATACACCCCCATCCGGATTACGTAACCGGTACACCCAGCCCCCATAGGCATAGGGTTTCCCGGTTACAGGATCACCCTTGAGAAGTTTCTCGCAGGCGTCTTGAAGCTTTTTAGTAGGTACCGGGTGAACCCTTTCAGGTTTTATAACCCGGTCAGCCCACTCACGATGAGAGAGAGGGAATTGGTCAGAGGGGAACTCGATAAAAACAAATCTTTGTTTCCATTTCTTATGGCTAGGGGGAAGACCGGTTATAAAACCCCTAGAGTTGGCACGGGAATGGAAATAAACAAAACCCGGGCAGTTACTAGTCCCGGGCAAGACGTCATACATATGGAGAAAAAGATCAAGAGAAGGGTCGATATGGAGAGATTCACAAATATTCACAAAACAATTTAAGAACCGGTGAGCATTTGGAGTAAGTTGGCCGGGCAAAAGATTGAACTTGTTACAAATTTCTACAAGGAGGGGGCGAAGAGGAAAGATAATGCCTCCCTCTAGCGAAGCAACATGAAAACCCAACCGGTTTCCCTGGTGAGGGTCTATGATGTTGGGCCAGGTGGTGCTAGAAAGGACTTTATAGCCCGGTGGAAGGACGGAGCGCACCTCAGCCAGGACCTTCTTTGTAACCCTAGAAGGCTCTTTGAAGACCGGTCCTGAGTCAAGGGCTAGGTAACCCAGCGACCCCAATCGTTCTTCCCATTGGTCCCAACTGAGGACCTTGGGATTGAACCGACCGGGTAGTTGGTTCAGAGGGACAGGCTCCTGGGCAATTATTTCCCGGGCTTGAGAGCTAGACTGGTTAGAGGGGCGGCGGATCAAAGGAGTGACAGGGGGAGAAGACTCGGATTGGTTAGAGGAAGAGGGTTGAGAACCCGATCCATAAGATTGACCGGATACATTTTGTGAGTCAGAGGAAGACATGATAGCAAGTCTACCGGTCAAAATTGAAAAGATGGAAGAATTAAAAGACTAGGAGGACTGGAGGACTTACTTGGCAGAAGTCTAGAGAGAGAAAGTAGACCGGTTAAACCTTGAGGAGCGAAGAAGAGAAGTGAAGGAATGAAGTGGGTTGAGGGAGTATTTATAGGAGAGAGAGGCGGTTTGGAACTCGAGGCGACAGGTGGGAGGCCGAGGGGCCGACACGTGGAAAAGGTAAGGTTTTGAGGGGGAAAATTTGAATTTCAAATCTGGAAGGTGAAGAGTTTTGGGGGGAAATTCAAAAACTGAAAATCCAGGCATGACGAGCTAACAAAGGACAGGTCTGATGGAGATATCTGATAAATCAGTAGGGTCTGATCAATTAATGGACGGGTCTAATATTGAGATTGGTTCCAGAAGAGGACCGGTTTTGAAAATGAAAGACTTGATCATTCAAAGAAATGGGCAGGTGTCCATAGAAAGGTCATGTGAATAGTTTGACAATTTCAAAAGGGGACAGGTCAACGAGAATGACTTGATGATTCTAGAAGAAGGACAGGTCTTAAAACGAAAAGGCTTGATAATTCAAAGGAGGGCAGGTCTTGAAAAAGAAAGGCTTGGCAATCCAAAGAAAAACAGGTCTTGAAAGAAAAAGGTGTGATGATTCAAAAAGACAGGTCAACGAGAATGACTTTAATTTTCAACGTGTGGTGTGTGTATGGTGATGATGTGTACAATTGATAGCCTCTTTCTCCCTTATTATGAGAATGATGTGATGTTAACTTTAATTAAATACTCCCCCTTTCTCCCTTATCTTTTGCCTTTGCTTTTCATTTGTACGGGTGGGTGGGGGGTATTCTTGAAAAAAAATACTTTTTACCTACTTTCTTAAAGTGTGTGCAAGTCAAAGTGTTGTGATTAAATAGGGACGGAGGGAGTATGTGTTTACATTTGAGACGAGG